TAGTTCGAAACAGGGTTGCCGTATAAATGTAAGCTGTGCGTGTTTAGATTTTGCATATAAATTTGGTGTGTTGTAGAATAAATGACAAGCCTATCCACGTAAGACACTTTTCGCGGAACTTAATAATCATCTAAATACCAGAATTTCACAAAATTAAACCAGTCAACATTTTCTGAAATACTAAATAATATTCTGGAATTTGAGTGCATTTTCTGATAATAAGAGACTATTTTGTCCGAAGAAAAGACATGACCTCCACCTACTCTAAATAAATAAATATTTATCTTCGACTTTTTTCTGATAGTTCATCAAATCTTTTTTGTCCAGCTTTTAACCACTTATTGCGCTATTTCCCTTAATTTTGAATTTCTTTTGAATTTTTTTAATCAAGTCCCAAGTTAGTAATAATTAGTCTTTTATACCCTCCACCATAGTATGAAGGGTATATTAAGTTTGTCATTCCGTTTGTAACTCTTCGAAATATGTCCGTCCGTCTATCCGTCGGTGGAAATCACTGTACCTTCCGAATGAATTGAAATAGATTGATACCGATATTCGGTATTTTGATGATTTTAGCGAATTTATTCACCGGAAATGTTTCAAATTTGGTATTTAAAGTTCGTAATGGATACTACAGCCTAAGACAGAAAATTGTCTGTGCAGGTCCACATCTTCGTAGAGCCCCCATATAACGGTACCTCCCGATATGCGGGATACGCGATATGTTTTTTGATGATTTTAGCGAATTTATTCACCGGAAATGTTTCAAGTTTGGTATTTAAAGCTCGTAATGGATATTACATACTAAGACCAAAAATTAGCCATGTATGTCCACGTTTTCATATAGCCCCCATATAACGGCACCTCCCGATATTGGTTATTTTAATTATTTTAGAGACGTTATTTACCGGAACTATTTCAAATTTAGTATTTGAAGTTCCTAATGAATACTACAGCCTATGACATAAAATTGCCTGTGCAGGTCCACGTTTTATAACCCCCATGGTACCTCCCTATATTCGGCATTTTGATGATTTTAGCTACGTTATAAACAGATTTCTTTTCAAGTTTCGCATTTGAATATTGTAATAGCTTGTGACAAAAGTTGCCTATGCAGGTCCACGTCGTCGTATAGACCCCAATATACGGGTACATTCGGTATTTTAAAGATTTTAAACAAAATTGTTATTGGATTTAATTTTTTTTTTGAAAATTGAAATTAAAATTTTTTTGAAAATTCAAAGTTCGGCCCGGCCGAACTTACTGCTTTTTTACTTGTTCATGACATGCAAGAGATCAAATAAAGACATTCTATTATATAACTTGTTATATTCATCACATAAAGATCACATAGGGTTGACCAAAGTTCGAAATAAATTTTGCTATCGACAATTTAGGTTATTTTAGGCTGATGGGCATACACTTAAGCCAGTATAGGCCTGCTGTGCGCTCTAGAATTAAGGTTTTTGAAAGAAGACGGGCAGCTTACAGTCTGTTATATGTGAAATTCAGTTGCCTTAATGAAATTCCTTAACTGTTTTATATAATTTATCATGATCGGATTAAGGTCTGGTTTGGAGTCGTTCCCTAAGAATTGGGATCTGATATTTGTAAACGCTGGGTATTGGCCGAATTTGCAATACCCTCCACCTTTGTGTAAAGAAAACATTTTATATAAAAGTATCTGAATTCGAAGGTGTCCTACTTTAACTACAAATAGTAGTAAAGCCGTTTGGATAATGCTGTTAAACTTTCCAAAAAAAGTGGGAGGGAGGCCGTTATATGGGGGCTATAGCAAAACGGGAACCTCCATAGACAATTTTAAACTTCAGGGATTGTTATCTACCAAATCTTCTTAAATACCAAATTTGAAACACTTCCGTAGGTTAATGTGACCAGGATTATCAAAAAACAAAAAAAAAAACAAAACAAAAAAAAAAAATCGGTGGGTATCGTTATATGGAAGCTAAACAACAACGTGGGCCTGTGCATACAATGTTTCGCCAATGTTTTCAATACCAATTTTCAGACAAATCGGTTAAAAATGTGGCGACAATACGGAACATCGGTAGGAACGGTTATATCAAAACGTGGATCGATATATCTCATTTTCAATACCAACCATCCTAGACATAATGCCAATGGTTCTGCCAAATTTCGAAGCTCTAGATTTATAGATTTTATTTAGCCCTTTACCTTGTTACTTGACCTTCATTTAAGTTCTCCTACGCATGCTTTCAAAATATATTAATGGTTTTAATATTTTTTTCTTATAGATTTGAGGGCCTTCGCACTAGAAATTTCGCCGATATTGCCGTTATCAAATTGGAGTCACCATTCATTTATGGCGAGAATGTATCGTCTATATGCATTAAACCCGCCAGTGGAACTATCAGTGATGTTGTCCCCTCGAATATTAGCGGCGTTGTAACCGGTTATAATGAGATACATAACAATTTGGAACAAGTAACCATGCGATCGGAGGGATATCATGAGTGTATAGGACATGATTTGATTGGTCAAACCCTATCGGAGGATAAGTTTTGTCTATACAATGGTCACAACGATGGCATTTGCCGTGGCGATAGCGGCGGTGGTTTTGTTCAGCAAGTGAGGATACCATTTCCGAAGGAAGAAGATATATTCTTTTTATTGGGCATTATCAGCTTTACGCCGGGCACGGAAAATGAATGCGCCCGCGAAGGTTATGTGGCTGTGACAAATGTGAAATATATGCGACCCGATTTATACGCTACCTTCAAGAAGGAAACAGACGAGGATCGAAGACTTTTTTAGAATAGCAATTTAAGTTTAGTTTATAAAGTACAAAGGTGCAATAACTGCTTTTTGATTATAAATAAGGCTTGCCATTAATCAAACTGCTGATGGAGAGATCATAAAAAATAAAAAACAAATAAATAAGAAAACGCGTAAATATTTAAATATTTTGGAGAATTTTAATTTACCAGCAAATTTCTGCGTTCATGCAAAAAAATTACCCGCACATGTCTCAACAACTAAAGTCCGTATGGAGTCAAAAAGGGTTTTAATTAATTTATTAGCTATTTCCCTTGATTCCAAGTATATCTACGTATCTTAAATCCAACAAGTTAAAAAGCAGTAAGTTCGCCCGGGCCGAACTTTGAATTCCCTCCACCAGTTGTAATGAATTTGGAAATTTTAACATAATAAAATCCTTAAAAAAATCTGTTAAAATTTTAAAATTACCGAATATAGCCGTTATATTGGGGTCTATATGACGTGGACCTACATAGGCATTGTTCGTCTTAAGCCATTACCATATTCAAATTCGAAACTTGAAATAAACGGCGAATAATGTATCTAAAATCAACAAAATATCGTATAGAGGGACTTACCGTTGTATCGGAGTTGTGCGAAAACCTGGACCAGCATAGACAATTTTCTGTCACAGGCATCCATTACGAACTTCAAATACGACATCTCAAACAATTTCGGTGGGTATTGTACCTAAACTTGTCAAAATACCGAATATAGAGAGGTACTGATATATTGGGCCTATACGAAGACCTTGACCTGCATAGGCAATTTTCTGTCACGGACTGTAGTTCCCATTACGAACTCTAAATATGTAATTTGAAACGATTCCGGTGAATAGTGTCGCTAAAATCATCAAAATACCAAATTTTGGGAGGTACCGTTATATGGGGGCTATACGAAGACGTGGACCTGCACAGACAATTTTCTGTTTTAGGTTGTAGTATCTATTTCGAACTTCAAATACCAAATTTGAAATAGTTCTGGTAAATAATGTTGCTAAAATCATCAAAATACCGAATATCGGGACGTACCGTTATATAGGGGCTATATGAAAATATGGACCTACATGGCCAAGGTTTTCAAAAATTCTTTCCGATGGTACTGTCCGCAGAATTCGGAAAAAAAGCTAGTTACAGTAGCCAAGTATCCCGCTAGTTACAGTAGCCAAGTATCCCATATATATCAGAAGCCAATAAGCCTCAGAAGCGAATGGATTTGCAAATGAATATCATTTGCAAAATTCATTGGCTTCTGTGCCTCCAAGCCTCCCGAGTTCTGGAATAAGGTCATTTTCTCGGATGAAAGAAAATTTTGAATTTTCGGAATTAAGGGCATAAAGTTAGTGTGGAGGAAAAAAATGTACGGCGTTTAAAACCCAGAATTTAATCCCAACCGTAAAACATGGTGGAGGCGGAATTATGGTTTGTTGTGCTATGACATCTAACGGTGTTGATTAAAACGAATTTCTTGATTCCACAATGGACCAACTGAGGTATATGCAAATTTTAAAAGAAAATTTGTTGCAACGATGTTGAGGTTACAAGAAGAATTGTATTTTCAGCAAGACAATGAGCCCAAACATGCCTCGCAAAATATTAAGCTCTGGCTGTTGTACAACGTTAAAGATCAGTTACAAATGACTCCCCAATCACCGTATCTTAATCCTATCGACCATTTATGGAACTTACTCGAACACAGGATTCGCACACATATCATAACCTCAAAAACGTGTGCAAGGAGAAAATATTAGAAGAATCGGAAAAAAATTAATTGTTTTAAATTTGGTATTTGAAGTTCGTAACGGATACTACAGCCTATGACAGAAAATTGTCCGTGCAGGTTTACGCCTTCGTATAGCCCCCATATAACGGTACCTCCCGATATTCGTTCTGATTTTTTTTTAATTTCCAAATTCGTTCCAAATGGTGGAGGGTATTCAAAGTTCGGCCTGGCCGAACTTAAAGCTTTTTACTTGCTTTTCCTGTTATCCCTCAAAAGTTATTTTCCCCATATCTGTAAAAAAATGTAATCTCGATTATTCCAGTACGAAAATGTAATCCTCCAATTTGAATTATTTTCTTATCTCAATGTTTTCTTAATTAAAGTATATTCCAATTATGGAAAAACCATCGATAATCGCTTTTCTTTGCTATATATATTTCCCTATTGGGACTATTCTTAATGCAGTGTTCTATGGAATGTCGAAGACTGCTTTAATTAACGGTTAAAATTCAGTTGTTTTAAATCCGAACCGAGTTGCCAGAAAAAAAGTAAAAAATGATAGGAAACAAAACAAGCTTTTATATTCTGTTCACAATATTTCTCGTATGGAAAATCCAGCATGGTAAGTGTTTGGAGGTGGTGGAACGCTGATTTTAAAACTCATCCCAGGCGAATGCAACTAGAAACTTCCCTGTACGAAAGCTGGGGTTACATGCCTTCATGTCACCACTCGTTTTATTTTTCTCCGAATAAGAAGAAGCATTAGATCGACACCCAACTTCAAGCTATTGTTGGAAAATGTATTTGGGAAAGTCCCTAAAAGCTAATTTATCACAAATTTCCTCGTGTTGTGTAATTTACTGAAGTAAATATTAAAAAAAGTAAACAAGGGGAGGACAACGAGGACAAGCAACTGTTGAAGTGAGAAATTTAGTAATTAAACATTTCAAAAACCATAAATCGCTAAGTAAGATATCTGAGATTGTTAATAGAAGCCGATCTACAGTTCAGTACATCATAAAACGGTTCACAGACAGATGGATGTGTAGAAAATAAGTCAAGAACGGAAAATAATAAAATATTTACCTTGAGTGATGAGAAGTACATTTTACGGCCGATCAAAAAGGATCCATTTTTGAGTGCACCGAAGCTCGCAAAAATTGCTGAATAGGATTTGGGAAAAGTATGTTGCCCTCAAACAATAGGAAATACTAGCTGAACACGGAGCGCTTCGCTACCCCTTTTGACTTTATAGGCATTCAAAATTTAAAAAAAAACGAATCTAAAAATTAAAAAAAAAAAAAAAATATTGCACTACTTTAATTCGTAAATAAAAAAAAAACATTAGAAAAGCAGTAACATGACATGCATGACATGTCTTCGGATTTATTTATTTCATAGCAAATACCAAGCGTGCGGGAAACTGCAATCTTTTGAAGTTGAGTGGCATTTCTATTGCAATTAGTGAATTCGAGGTAGCAACATACTTCCCGTAAAAAGCGTATTTCAAATTAATTGTTGTGTAGTTTTTTACTATTAGAGTAAGACGTTGTGGGTCAATGGTTCTTATTATAATCATATCCCAATCTAATCCAATTTAAATATAATTTTAAAAAAATTACTTTTACACCAAATCCCGCCACACCTTTCATATTTCATTGAAATTGGTGCGTCAAATATGTGAAATCGGCCGAGAATATATATTTGGGAGCTATATCCAAATCTTAACTAATTTCCAATTAATTTGTCACATTTATTATTGTAACCAAATTCCGCCACACATTCTGAATTTCATTGGAATCGGTCATATATATCGTGTTTGGTGCATAACATTTATGAAATCGGCCGAGAATATATATGGGAGCTATAATCAAATCCGAGCGAATTTGAATATAATTTGTCAAGTTTATTTTTGTACAAAATTTAGTCACTCATGCCGAATTTCATTGAATCGGAAATACGTATAGTGTTTTGTGCATAAAATATGTGGAATCGGCGGAAAATATCTGTGGGAGCTATATCCAAATCTGAACCGATTTTAATATAATTTGACTAATTTATTTTCTAATCAAAATCCCGTCACATATTCCAAATTTCTTTGGAATATTTCTTTGGTGCATAAAATATATGAAATCGATCGAAAATATATATGAGGGCTATATCCAAATCTGAACCGATTCTAATATAATTTGACTAATTTCTTTTCTAATCAAAATCCCGTCATACATTCCCAATTTCATTGGAATCGAACATTCATATCGTGTTTGAGGCATCAAATGAACGAAATCGGTCGAAAATATATATGGGAGCTATATCTAAATCTGAACCGATTTCAATATAATTTGGCAAATTTATTATTGTTCTTAATTTCGTTACGCATTCCAAATTTGGAGATTGTATTTGTAATCGATCAATAGATATGTGCATATAAAATCTACATTTTTGGGAGGTACCTCCGATTCTGATGCTATATCTCCAGTTCCAAGTGGAATTTCAAAAATGTATATAGCCTATGTTACTGTCAGGCGATGTTGCAGTATACATGCAAATTTTCAGGAAAATCTGTTCAGCGGTTTTCGAGTCCATAACTTACAAACAAACATACAAACATTTTCCTCTTTTATAGATATAGATACTGCATAAGTCCAATTGCAATGGAATAAGAGCCAAACATAAACCTCGAATCAGCAAGCGAGATCAAGAAGTAAGATTTCGATTTGCTAAGGAGGACATATCAAAAGATTTTTTAGAAGAATGTGCTGTAAACGGACGAGTGCAAATTCAACCTTTTTGGATCAGATGGCAGACCTTATGTATGGAGAAAGGCAAATAAAGCGCTCCATGCCAAAAAATATGAAGCCTACAGTGAAGCACGGTGGTGGTGGGTCAGTATTGGTGTGGGGTTCATTTTCAGTCTCTGGACCTGGTGTATTGCATTTTATTGAGGGTATTATGGATCAGACTATGTATCTTAACATTTTGAAAGAAAGTTTGCCACTCTGTAAGGAAAAGCTTGGCCTTTGGGAAGATTGATATGTTTATACCCTCCACATTAGAAGGAGGGTATATTACTTTGTCATTCCGTTTGTTACATCCCTAAATATTCATGGTAGACCCCATAAAGTATATAAATTCATAATCAGCATAAAATTCTAAGTCGATTTAACGATATCCGTCTCTCTGTCGTCTGTCTGTTGAAATCGCGATACAGCTCACATTATATGACGTAGACCGTCAAAATTTAGCAGAACAATTTGTATTGTGTCTAGGATTGTTGGTATTGAAAATGAGATATATCGGTTCATATTTTGGTATAGTCCCCAAATAACGGTCCCTTCCGATATTCGGTATTTTGATGATTTCTGCCACATTTTTTCACGGATTTGTCTAAAAATTGGTATTTGTTGGTCATAATTGGTCCTAGTTCGTGTGGAAAAACATTGTATGTGTAGGTCTACGTTTTGGCCCTCATAGAACGGTCCCTCCCGATATTCGTTATTTTGATGGTTTTTGTCACATTAATTGGTATTTAAAGGTCATAATGAGTCCTTGTTCGTGTGGCGAAACATTGTATGTATAGGTCCACGTTTTGGTATAATCCCCATATAATGGTACCTCCCGACAATCGGTATTTTGATTATTTTTGCCACATTTTATCACAGATTTGTCTAAAAATTGGTATTTGTTGGTCAGAATGGGTTCTTGCTTCGGTGGCGAAACATTGTATGTATAGGTCCACGTTTTGGTATAGCTCCCATATAATGGTACCTCCCGACAATCGGTATTTTGATGACTTTTGCCACGTTTCTTCGCGGATTTGTCTAAAAACTGGTATTTGTGGGTCCAAATGGGCTCTAGCACCTTTGGCGAAACATTGAATTTATAGGTCTTCGTTTTTGTATAGCTCCATATAGCGGACCCGATATTCGGTAGTTTGATGATTTTTGCTACATGGGAATATGAATATGTCTAAAAATTGGTATTAGTGTGTCAGTGGAGGGTATCGGCCCGGCCGAACTTAATGTTTTCTACTTGATATCAAAATAATGATCCGAATGATTACACAAGGCTTATAAAGTGCGGTCGTAGCTGCTATATAATTGTTCCCACGTCATGGATACATCAGCCCAGAGTCCAGACATAAACCCCATAGGGAATTTATGGAGCTATCTCGATGAAAAATTCTGACAGCATACCATATCATGCAAAGAAGATTTGAAGAAAGCTTTGTTGGAGGAATGGCAAGAATTAACCTAGCCTTTGCGAAAATCTTGTTAAAAGTATGCCAAATAGGCAGCAAATGGTAAAAAGTAAAGGAATGCATACAAAATATCAATGTCTAGAAATACTTTAAATTATACGAAGTGTACGAGTTTGGCTTTGACATTAAAATATGATCTCTTTTAATATTTATTTATTTTTTGTCTTTAAATTAATTTTATTTCTTGCCCTTTAAATTACTTACACAGTTTTCTAATTAAATGTAAAAAAAAAACATTTTTTGGAAATTTTGATTTTTCGAAGTTATAAGAAAAATAAAATTTTTTCTTTAGCTGTACGAATTTCGCTTGGAGCTACTGTACTTATCCCTATTTTAAAGCTGCTGTTTACACACATTCGTTAATATATTATTTCCTCTCTTTGCCTCTTATTTAGGTGTCACAGAATCCACTGATGATGAGCAACGCTGTCAGATACCACTAAATCTTGAAAACATGATTGTAAAACGCCATATGCAGGGCAATGCAACAATGAAACCCGGAGATTTCGTTGATGAATTTGAAATCGTTCATTTAGATTGTGTAATCAACAATGTGCGAAGATATTCAGGGAGTTCATTATGTATTGATGGAGAGTTCTCAGAACAGTTTCCAAAATGCAGAAGTAGGTTCGAAAATAATTATTTAAAAAAAGATCGCATGTTCAGTTTATTATTGATTCCCCACATTGTATAATTCTAAAATTTCTTCTATTTTAAAAAGCTGTTTGCGATCAAAGCCTCCTAAATGATCTGTCAATTATATATGAAGTATATTCTTCGAGTGATCAATATTTGGAAGCATTTGTGTATAGATATGGCATACCCGTCAATAGCAGAGTAGAAATTTGGTGTGCATCTGGTTTTCGCCGGAATTCAAGAAACACCCAGAATCGCGTTAGCAATCGGCAAATATTACACTGTCTAGAGAATGGTAAATTTGATCAGCTGATCGAGCCGTGTATACCCGGAGAGAGTAATGAAAAAGAGGTCTAATTGATGACTTGCACATAATCACATTCTGGATCGATTTACGCCAATGGGAACATATATTTTCTGTCCCTTTATTTTTATAAATCACATAAATATATGTATTTTTTTTTTATTTCCTGTACATTTGTATCTATTTTTTCCGATTCTATGTTAAATTGTACCTAATTTTTTTCCCATTAAAAGAAAAAAAAAACAAACAAGAAGTTTAAGATTTGTGGTATTAGAAGCTCATACTGTGCTTAACTGAATTAAGAGATGCGAATAAAATAATAGCAGCGCACCATATCTTAAATAATTCTTGCTTGTATTAGTCTTGTTTGTCATTATATTATGTGAGTGTCGTTGTATTATTTTATAACTTCAAATATGTACTCGACTTATTGGTACAGGTTAAAAAAATCATTTCTAAATCCATCGAGTCAAAAAGTAGTAAAATATGCAAATTGTGTGTTTTAAAAATATTTTTTTTTCTCCCGGAAAGAGGAAAAAGAAATTCTACAAAGAATTGCAGAATTTGTTGTATTGTTCTGCCACAATCAGATCAGTAACGTATTAATATATGAAAAAAATCTAAACTTGAGATTGAAAGTCAGTAGTGCAGAAATACCCCAGACGGATGATAAACAAGTTAAAAAGCAGTAAGTTCGGCCATGCCAAACTTTGAACACCCTCCACCATTCGAAACGAATTTGGATATTTTAAAAAAATAAAATCCTTAAAAAATTCTGTTAAATTTTAAAAATACCAAATATTGCCGTTATATTGGGGTCTATACGACGTGGACCTACATAGGCATAGTTTGCCATTAGCCATTACCATATTCAAATTCGAAACTTGAAATAAACGGTGAATAATGTAGCTAAAATCATCAACATATCGTATATAGGGAGGTACCATTATATCGGAGTTGTGTGAAGGCTATAGCATCCATTACTAACGTCAAATACGATATCTCAAACAATTTCGGTGGGCATTGTACCTAAACTCGTCAAAATACCAAATATAGGGAGGTACTGATATATGGGGCCTATACGAAGACCGGGACCTGCATAGAAATTTTTCTGTCACAGACTGTAGTTCCCATTACGAACTCTAAATACGAAATTTTTACAATTCCGGTGAATAATGGCGCTAAAATCGTCAAAATACCGAATTTTGGGAAGTACCGTAATATGGGGGCTATACGAAGACGTGGACCTGCACAGAAAATTTTCTGTCATAGGCTGTAGCATCCATTACGAATCTCAAATACCAAATTTGAAACACTTCCGGTGAATAATGTCGCTAATATCATCAAAATACCGAATATCGGAAGGTACCGTTATATGGGGACTATATGAAAACGTGGACCTACATGGCCCATTTACGAACTTAACCTGCCTTCTGGAAAAATATTCGAAAGAAAGCGTGATTACAACAGACAGACGGACATGGCTAAATCGACTTAGAATTTTACGCTGATCAAGAATATATATACTTTGTTAGGTCTGACATGAGTATTTCGAGGAGTTACAAACGGAATGACAAAATTAATATACCCTCCATAGTATGGTGGAGGCTATGTTCCGCCACACTATGACCTACAACTACCAATTTTTAGACAAATCCGTGAAAAAATATGGCGAAAATCATCAAAATATCAAATATCGGGAGGGTATATGGCAGCTATACTAGAACGTGAACCAATATATCTCATTTTCATACCAAGCATCCTGCACATAATACAAATTGTTTTGCCAAATGTTGAAGCTGTACGTCTAAAAATGTGGTCTGTATCGTGCTTTCAACAAATTTCGTTAAACCGATTTAGAATTTTATACTTATTATGAATATATATATACTTTATGGAGTCTACGGCGAATATTGAGGGATGTTACTAACGGAATGACAAAGTTAATATACCTTCATTTTCAAGGAGGAGGGTATAAAAATAACAAGTAAAAACCTGTAAATTCGGACGGGCCGAACTGTAAATACCCTCCACCATTTCTTCTGAGAAGTTTGTCCACTGGAAGAGAATTATCTATATATCCCGATATTCGTTAGTTGGATGATTTTAGCCAATTTTTTTTTTTTTTTGAGGGAATTGTCTGAAAAGCCATATCAGAGTTTTCTTTTGAGTACTTTATCCCATAGAAGAGAATCGTCTATATAATAACTGTATCTCCCGACATTCGGTATTTGGATGATTTCATTTTTCAATGACATTGTATGAAATTCTACACAATTCTGTAAGTACTTTAGCCCCTGTAGGAGAATTGTCTATAGAGGTCTGTGAATGAGAAATTTATGTATAGGTCCAAGACATCGTATAACCGCCATACAAAGGTGCCCCTCCCCCAATATTTCTATGAAATAGTCTGAAAATCCACGCAAGAGTTCCCTCTGAGGACTTACCCCCTGGAAGAGAATTGTCTATAGAGGTCTTTGTTTTAGTATAGCACCTATATATCGCCACCCATGTTTCAAATTTGGAATCTGAAGTTCGTAATAAATACTACAGCTAATGACAGAAAATTGTCTGTGCAGGACATATCAAAAGATTTTTTAGAAGAATGTGCTGTAAACGGACGAGTGCAAATTCAACCTTTTTGGATCAGATGGCAGACCTTATGTATGGAGAAAGGCAAATAAAGCGCTCCATGCCAAAAAATATGAAGCCTACAGTGAAGCACGGTGGTGGTGGGTCAGTATTGGTGTGGGGTTCATTTTCAGTCTCTGGACCTGGTGTATTGCATTTTATTGAGGGTATTATGGATCAGACTATGTATCTTAACATTTTGAAAGAAAGTTTGCCACTCTGTAAGGAAAAGCTTGGCCTTTGGGAAGATTGATATGTTTATACCCTCCACATTAGAAGGAGGGTATATTACTTTGTCATTCCGTTTGTTACATCCCTAAATATTCATGGTAGACCCCATAAAGTATATAAATTCATAATCAGCATAAAATTCTAAGTCGATTTAACGATATCCGTCTCTCTGTCGTCTGTCTGTTGAAATCGCGATACAGCTCACATTATATGACGTAGACCGTCAAAATTTAGCAGAACAATTTGTATTGTGTCTAGGATTGTTGGTATTGAAAATGAGATATATCGGTTCATATTTTGGTATAGTCCCCAAATAACGGTCCCTTCCGATATTCGGTATTTTGATGATTTCTGCCACATTTTTTCACGGATTTGTCTAAAAATTGGTATTTGTTGGTCATAATTGGTCCTAGTTCGTGTGGAAAAACATTGTATGTGTAGGTCTACGTTTTGGCCCTCATAGAACGGTCCCTCCCGATATTCGTTATTTTGATGGTTTTTGTCACATTAATTGGTATTTAAAGGTCATAATGAGTCCTTGTTCGTGTGGCGAAACATTGTATGTATAGGTCCACGTTTTGGTATAATCCCCATATAATGGTACCTCCCGACAATCGGTATTTTGATTATTTTTGCCACATTTTATCACAGATTTGTCTAAAAATTGGTATTTGTTGGTCAGAATGGGTTCTTGCTTCGGTGGCGAAACATTGTATGTATAGGTCCACGTTTTGGTATAGCTCCCATATAATGGTACCTCCCGACAATCGGTATTTTGATGACTTTTGCCACGTTTCTTCGCGGATTTGTCTAAAAACTGGTATTTGTGGGTCCAAATGGGCTCTAGCACCTTTGGCGAAACATTGAATTTATAGGTCTTCGTTTTTGTATAGCTCCATATAGCGGACCCGATATTCGGTAGTTTGATGATTTTTGCTACATGGGAATATGAATATGTCTAAAAATTGGTATTAGTGTGTCAGTGGAGGGTATCGGCCCGGCCGAACTTAATGTTTTCTACTTGATATCAAAATAATGATCCGAATGATTACACAAGGCTTATAAAGTGCGGTCGTAGCTGCTATATAATTGTTCCCACGTCATGGATACATCAGCCCAGAGTCCAGACATAAACCCCATAGGGAATTTATGGAGCTATCTCGATGAAAAATTCTGACAGCATACCATATCATGCAAAGAAGATTTGAAGAAAGCTTTGTTGGAGGAATGGCAAGAATTAACCTAGCCTTTGCGAAAATCTTGTTAAAAGTATGCCAAATAGGCAGCAAATGGTAAAAAGTAAAGGAATGCATACAAATATCAATGTCTAGAAATACTTTAAATTATACGAAGTGTACGAGTTTGGCTTTGACATTAAAATATGATCTCTTTTAATATTTATTTATTTTTTGTCTTTAAATTAATTTTATTTCTTGCCCTTTAAATTACTTACACAGTTTTCTAATTAAATGTAAAAAAAAAACATTTTTTGGAAATTTTGATTTTTCGAAGTTATAAGAAAAATAAAATTTTTTCTTTAGCTGTACGAATTTCGCTTGGAGCTACTGTACTTATCCCTATTTTAAAGCTGCTGTTTACACACATTCGTTAATATATTATTTCCTCTCTTTGCCTCTTATTTAGGTGTCACAGAATCCACTGATGATGAGCAACGCTGTCAGATACCACTAAATCTTGAAAACATGATTGTAAAACGCCATATGCAGGGCAATGCAACAATGAAACCCGGAGATTTCGTTGATGAATTTGAAATCGTTCATTTAGATTGTGTAATCAACAATGTGCGAAGATATTCAGGGAGTTCATTATGTATTGATGGAGAGTTCTCAGAACAGTTTCCAAAATGCAGAAGTAGGTTCGAAAATAATTATTTAAAAAAAGATCGCATGTTCAGTTTATTATTGATTCCCCACATTGTATAATTCTAAAATTTCTTCTATTTTAAAAAGCTGTTTGCGATCAAAGCCTCCTAAATGATCTGTCAATTATATATGAAGTATATTCTTCGAGTGATCAATATTTGGAAGCATTTGTGTATAGATATGGCATACCCGTCAATAGCAGAGTAGAAATTTGGTGTGCATCTGGTTTTCGCCGGAATTCAAGAAACACCCAGAATCGCGTTAGCAATCGGCAAATATTACACTGTCTAGAGAATGGTAAATTTGATCAGCTGATCGAGCCGTGTATACCCGGAGAGAGTAATGAAAAAGAGGTCTAATTGATGACTTGCACATAATCACATTCTGGATCGATTTACGCCAATGGGAACATATATT